CAAGCTTGTGTCGGGCGAGTTCCGGGCTGTATCCGACCGCACACGTTTTGCTGAGGCGGTTCAGAGCATCGTAAACCGCTGCTTTTACGGGTGCCTTTATTGGCGACGATCAGAAGCATTCCCTGACGTCCAGCTCCCCGACCACGGTTGCTGCGGCCGTTGCTCACGGTCTCACAGATGCGCACGAGTCCGATGAAAAGAATGCATACGAGGAAAAGGCGCCAGTCACCGTGGCAGCCGCTAAAACCAAGGGTAGCACGAACCCCAAGTTGTCCGCGCTCAGTAAGCGACCCAGCTCCCCCCCTGGTCATTCGGTGGCACCTACGGCGCCACACAAGACTGGTGCCACCTCTGCGCAAGGCCATCCATCGGAGGAAATCTTGCAGCGAGCTAATGTGGGAGATGACGCTTCAGGTGACCTGTACAGGAAGAACACCGTCGTTCTCATTTTTATGAACATGACATATTTTTACAAAAAGAAGGCTAGCAGTCTTAATTCCGATGTTAAACAAGTCGAAGAAGTTGGAGGTGAGTTGAATGTGGAGGATGGACGTCTGGAATCCGAGGAAAAGGCTGAAGACAGCGTACCAGACTCTCCTAGCCAACCTGAGCAGACAGAGCAACAGGAAGAATCTAGTCAGCCTACTCCATCTCAGCTGGTATCTCTACGTGAGATTTTGGCGGTCCCTACACTCGCACAGCGCGAGGCACAGTATCACAGACGCAAGGTGAGAAAGGTTGACTACCACGTGAGTAAATCAAGAAAGAAACGCTACCAGAATAGACGCGCCCCAACTCGCAGCGGCACCAGCATCTATCACGCGCACACCTTGAAGGTGAAGACAATGAAGGACTTGTTGCGAATCCCTGGCATGCGACTGAAGTTGGTCAAAGTGCGCAAAAATATACCGGTGTATAACGCGCCCACTCTACCTGACCCCGACGATGATATGCCAGAGGTTATGGAGCCTGTTCCCTTTCCGGACTGCGTGGCGCAGATCTCGGAGAACATTGTGCCGGAGGGGCTAAACTTCGTCGACGCCGGCGACGTTGACCCCTGCCTATGCATCGGAGACTGCTTCGCGCACTGGTGTCAGAACGCGGACATGGCATTCTACGTTCTACGTTGGAGCCCAGATCACGGTCTCGTACGGTAATAATATCTGGTTCAAATGCGCGTGCGACCAGTGTTGGAAGAAGCGACCTTCACAGACTTAGTTCAAACGAATTTAAATCCAGCGGTTATAAAAGTAGAGTACGACTTCGTATCTCGACGGTATCGTGTAGTGATATATTGCTCGCATACTCTACATGCGAGGAGTTTCTCCGAAGACAGTCAAGAAAGATGCGATAATCAAAGTTCTTCATGCAGAAAAGAAGGCCCAGCATCCTTAATATTGGAAGATTGCTCAAATTTCGACGATGATCTTTTTACTAAAGAGGTTGGGTAAGAATACCATCGAAGGGTTCTTCTTAAAGCTCTTTGTATTTGTTGATATACTGTCAAAGCAAAAAAAAACACACTATATCGTCGATGATGTTAAAGTCCTCGATTGGCTGATTATCAGATCAACTCATACCATGCAAAAGGCATCCCGGCGCTAGTTAAGTAGATCGCGTGCACATGCAGGATCTCAATATGTCAACGCTGGGCCAACACCCAGTGGACGGCCACCACGATGGCCGCTTCGCGAGATCAGACCTTCACTAGTGTTCTTCTGCTTGCCGCGCGTAACAAATATCTCCTGCCCGCGACAGTCCAAGTACTCGAGTGTTCGCTGTGCGAAGAGGACGTGCACACACACGCCAAAGCCGAACCAGTAGCTACATTGACACCACATACGGGTGGTGTCAACCATCCAGCCTCCGTACGGCTGTCCCTCGAACTCCATCCTGGCGTAGTTTACGCCCATCTGGGCACTCACCGCGATACCCTCTTCGCTGCGTGTAATGGGGGGAAACTTGAATGCGTTTAGCTGGACATGAAATTACACGCATGAGTCCAGCGCTCGGAATATCACCTGGATCGCGCCAGCCCTCATACAGAAGCTCCTCACGGATCATCTCAGAGACCCTGCGTACGAGAGTTGGAGATGGAACCACATCCAGACTGAAGGCTCGCTCGCTTGCTGATTTATCCTGACAGCAATTACTTAGTTCCTGTAGCAACGCTCCCATTTTCAGTCTACGTCGGAGGGTGTAATCACGCTTCAGCACAGCGTTAAACGTCTCCACCGGATTGTTCGTGGATGCGAACCCGCTGGGAGTCCAATAGAGCTGCCAGGTAGAGAAGCGTCCCTTCAGCCATTGGCAGTTAATGTACTGGGCAAATGTCGTCAGCCCCCGACCATCCATCAGACGGTTTAAAAAGTCCTCCCGCATCCGCACGAACTCGTTGTGGCTGTGCGCAAAATGCATATCGTACAGATCGCGCACTATAGTAGCCTTAGTATCCGAGGGAAACGCCTTAATCGCCGTGTACACTTTCTCCATCACGTGGAAGAAACACATTAGACTAGTGAACCGCGGGTTGTTGCCAAAAACAGCGTTGGCGGCGTTGTACTGGGCCTGGTCTGCGTCAGCCATGACGTACTGCACCACCAGTTTGTATCCTGTGAGTACACCGTACAGTCGACGCAGCGCCATGAGCGTCGACTGTATAATGGCTTGGTTTTCACCGGATACAATAAACAGTGATACTAGGTGAAACACACGCGAGGTATCGGATATTCCGATCACAATAACTGGGTACCCCCGGAAGTTGAGCTTGTATGTAGCGTCTACGTGCAGGATGAACGACTCAGGAGGCCTCATCAGTCGCATAATTAGCGTCTTGGTAGTTAAGCCGACGACGAACGGCCGCTCCTCAGAACCGTTGCCTACGACAGGCTTACCATCCACGTCCAGGTCCCACGCATAAGTGAAAGGCTGATCCAAGGCTTCGTCCCCAGTGAATGCACGCTCGTGGATCCACTTACGTAAATCGTCCACGCGATCGTTTCGCATCAAGTGAGTTCGCGAGTAGTGCTGCACGAAGTTTTGGACGGTGCTCAGGCTCGGAAGGTCCTGGAGCACCATATCAAACTTCCGCGTCATAGAGTGCCTAATTCTCATTGGCCGAAGGTGGTGTAGAGTCAGCTCCCTAACATAGGTTTTCTGGCTGGGCGTCAAACGCTTCTTTCTGGGGGATCTGGCTGCTGTAACGTGCTCCCCCAGCTGGAAAATCGACACCACGTTGTTCGGCATACACGATAAAGTCTTCCCTCGGCACGGGCAAGCCTGCCCATGCGAGGAAATCGACGTAGCACACGATTCCGACGCACACTTCAGTAGGCGGTAGCGCATCTTGTGTGTGGCGTCCTCTGGGCACACCACACACGCCAGTTGGTTGCACTTGGTCACCTCGTACGTCTTCAAGGTGCTCAGCACCCCCTCGGCGTCAAGGGCGTAGATGCCAAGCGCCACGTCCTTCCAGTCGATCCGCTTCGGCATCCTGCCAAGCGGGGTCGCGTAGATTGTGAAGTTCAAAATTAAACATTCAAATTTTTGAATCGAGAAATGTGGCAACTTTGATTGGGCTGTAGTGTCTGGCTCTGATTGGGCTATTTTCGACAGCTCTAGTTGTGTTCTGATTGGGTCTTATTTGACCCCTGTGGGAGAAAAGAAAAACGTCTGCGCAGAAGTGGCAGCGTGCAAAGGCGGTCAAATCTATTTGTGATTCCTCCATAGCGTGTTGTGTTTGCACATTCTATGGGTGCTCACCCATTTTTGGTGTGGGAAGGCCGTACTGTTGGGTGTAAATCACTCGTTCTCATATAACGACTGCCAATTTTTTTTAGCCTGGAACGTTTTTAAATCAATAGAAATGTTCATTGAAGTTAAAGAGAAAGGGCATGATCAACAAAAAACGAGCTGTAATGGGTCACTGGATGGCCGATGGAGCTGCTAAAACCCGACTCCTACGTCGTTGACAGGATGCTAAGCTCAAGAGGGGCCCTCCGTATAATAGGAGTACGGAAATCTTCCAGTCCATTATACCATATGTTGCTCAAAATGACCGGGTTTAGATCAATAAAAAACTTTTTTAACGTTTTATTTTTTTTTATTCGTAGTCAATATTGTAGTTTAAGTGGGAGTGCGTAACCTCGGATGAGCTTGCAGACAGGGAGGACTTCCGCGCGAAAATCCGGGGCGTACCTATAGTTCTTGATCAAGTCGAAAGCAACGAGATGAGCTCGTTCAGAGAATCGATTTTTCATGTTCTAACTACAGTATTATAATAGTATTGAAAAACATGTATCATCGTTAGAAAACTAGCACTACGAGCCTGGAGCAGATTGCTTGTGGATTGTTGTTCTCGCTTGTCCGTCGGGTCTGCTGTTGCATCTTACAGCATGTAGAAGTGTTTGTGTTTTTATAATCGTACTGTACTACTGTACATGTATAGTAGTACTATTAGTACGGTGTGCGCGTGTCTGCTTGCAGGAAAACGCATCCATGTCTGCAGTTCATGCTATGCTCGCTCAAGTACTGAAATTCAAGACAGCTGACATGCTCAACAATGTTGAATCAGCTGACAGCCAACTTGACTGAACGTACATGTGCTGTCTAGTAGACAGTGTAGACAGTGTATACACTGTAGAGTCTACAGCACACACGTTGTAGACATAAGTGGCCCGGTGCCTTTACATGTACTGTATCAACTTGATATCAAGGAAAGTTTTCTTGAATGGAGCTCGCTGATGATTAGAAAGTGGCTTCTACTTGAATTCTTGATGGCCTTCAACCACGCTATCATCGACGCTACTGCAGTGACTGCAGTGCAGTGCAGTCTGCTACACTTACATGATCCAGAACGAAATAATATTTCGCAAATACTACTGTACATGTACTTCAAAGTTCATGTACCAGTACAGCTCATTGCACTCCGCGTTTTGAAGTAGTCGACTGTAGTCTCGTTTACATGTAGCTTATTTGTCTAGCTATGTCATGTGCGGAATTCAAGCTCGGTTCACATCATGCGTAGGAGCGACATGTTGCCGGCCTTTGCGACGGACTCGATTCGAGCTGGCACATTTCCATTGTAGGAACGATCTCAACATTAGAAACTGCAGGTTGCGTCTTTGCAATTCTTTCGTCGTGATAGTCAGTGATCGTTCCTTCTCCTTTAGATCCGACTGAAGTTTGCGTTGCTTTTGCATTGCTCCTCTCAACGAGCCGACAGCGTCTTCCAGCAGTTCAATGTTCGAGTCATTGAGGCTTTGCTGAGACTTTTCAGCTCCTATCATTGAGCTGTTTGAGCTTGTTACACCTGGTGCCGCACTAGCTGAAAGAAAGTTCACAGTGTTAGACGATGAAACTTTCTTGCCATGAGTCTTGCGAACGGAATTGGAGCCGAGAGTCTGGCTGAGTTTATTCACTGAGCGAGGTATTCCCAGCGAGTTAAGACCCTCTACGATCCCCTTGGAGGCAGACAGGAAGTCGCGCGACTGGAACACCTGAGATCTCGCAGAAGGCGACAGAGCTTTATACGCCGTGGCGAAATCCCAGGCGGCTTCCACAACGCTTTGTTGACCGGCAGAGCGGCGCTCCATTTCCTCGATGAGGCGCTGGTTCAAGCCCACCAGGTCCTTGAGCTCAGCACACCTCCGCTGAACGGACTTAAGTTGCTTGTTCCGTTCAGTGTACTCTGCGATTTTACGATCCACCGCCACTTTCCAGCTGGCCACTTTCGTGTTAATTTCGACCAAATAGTCCGTTAACTCGTCAGCTCCACAAGTCTGCGAGGACTTTGCTCGCTCGGTAGCTCCCCCTTTGTCATTCTTTCGTGCAGGTTCGCAGAACTTACGCACTAGTTGGATGCAGTTAGCCAAAGCCATTGTCGTAGTGGGTGAAAACAAGGGTCGCAGAGGGCCATTCGCACTGGCGTTTAGCTCTGCTCGGTACTTCTGTACTCGAGCTTGATGCTTCCAGTTGTCGAAATATTGAGTCTGTTGACTTAGCAGCAGTTTCTTTGACTGTTGTCGAGCTAATACAACGCTGAGATATTGCAATTTGTGGAGTTCTTGATTCTCCAATTTAATTTTCAGCTTGTGCCAAGCGAGGAGACGAGTGGACTTCTTGAGGTGGTCGATAGTGTTGAACGACTCCCTCAATTGAGCAGTAAGGTCGTAACTCGCTTGTTTGGTTGAGTTAGCCACCAAGCACTGCACGAAGAACTTCCACTTCCAGTGCTTCAAGTCCATCTCCAGAGCATCTATTGTCTCTGCTGCTTGAGTACCGTTTCTTGCGATAGCTTCTAGCCATTCTGGCTGTGAAGTCGACATTGCAAAGGCGGAAGTACTGCTACTTAGAAAGTCTTCATCTTGTACGACAATTTGTGGTGACGCTGGCTTCGGAGCGACCCGACATTTGCCTTCATCCGACGCCGAGTCGTCCTCCCTCGCCACTTTGCGGGCAGCTAAGTGCGATCGCAGTGTCTGATATCGTTTCTCCACTGAGCTCAACTTCTTTAACGTGACGTTAACCCGTTCTAAAAGCTGACAAAAGGAGCGCTCTGTTCCGCGTTGACATGCCTTTAGCATTTCACGGAACGCTCGCTGCTGCAACTCCGGACGTGCTTGCAGTGTTTGGACCAGTTTGACTAGCGCCTTCTTCTCTCGTACCATCGTGCGATGCTGCTCAGTTAAAGACGATATCTCTCCCTTGAGAGCCGCTTCATTCTCGATTCTATCATGAGTCTGTGCTTCAGTATCAGCTTGGAGTTCCTCGACCGATCGCTGCAGACTGTACTGCTCTTCGGACAGACTCTGGACGTCGTGCTCCAACGCCTGCTTGTCTTCACTTAGCGTATTGTACTTGTTCATCCACATGAGCATCGTTGTCTTGGATTCTGCCAGCTCTTGGGACAAATCCTCGACACGCTCGCAGCTCTCTCGCTGCGCAGTCTCTAGAGCTGCTTTCTCGTTCTTCAGCTCCTGTTCAAGCGATAAGCATTGCTGTCTCACAGCGTCCAGTTCGCGCTGCGTTCGCTCCATCTCCGCGTTATGCTGAGTTTCGCCTATGTTCTTCGCCTCATTAGCCCCCGACAAGGCTTGCTCCAGCTGAGAGTGCTCAGATTTAGCCGCTGATAGCTGCAGTTTTAACGCTTCAACCCTCTCCCGAGTCTGTTGTAACTCACTCAGTTGTAGTGCTGACGCTCCTCTCTCCACTTTTTGCAGACTTGCGAGAAATTCCTTTCCCTGTTTTAGCTCCTCAAAGCCCTTTTCAAGACGCTGATTCTTCCTCTTACACTCGTCGAGCGTTTGTAAAAGCCTCTCGATTTCTCCAGCTGATCGGCGCTTCTCCACCTCGAGACCGCCGTAACTGCGCTGTAATTCAGATAACTGGATCTTCAAATCGGTAATTTGAGTTTCCTTCTCCTGTAGCTCGGTGATTTGTGCTGCTCCATCCTGCTCCTTCACGCTAAGTTGGTCTTGCAAGTCCTTTAGCGCTGTATCTCGGTCTCCCACCATCGTCTCGCAACGTCGAGCAGTCTCATGTAAACTCGCCACTTGTTTCTCCAGCTCAGCAGTCGACTGGGTCAGATTAGTGTGCGTGTCATTTAGATCTGTGTACTTCATTGCAAATGCTCGCTTCTCGCTGGCTTCAGCGTCATATTTTCCGACAAGGTCGTCGAATTTCCGCTTCAAATGCGCTTTCTGCTCTTCTAACGCGTCCAGCTGCTCTTTCAGCACGCGAATACTGCGTTCACAAGTTCTTTGTTCCGCGTCGCCTAAATTCTGGAGCTGGTGCTTTTCCTGCGTCAGATCTAGAATCATCTGACGCAGTTCTTCCTGCTTCTGCTTCGCTGATAGGAGCGCAGACGAGAGTGCAGAGTTCTCTCGCTGCAGATGGCCCCGGTCTTTTTCAGCTTGAAGCAGCGATTCTTCGTCTGTTGCGGCGTGTGCGCGTAGCTGCTTCACTTCCGATCGGAGCGCAAGAAGCGACGCGGAGTTATTACGACATTCTTCGCATTTCTTCCGGGAAACTTGCGTCCGTGAAAAGTCTGTGCCGACGGTGCTGCGAGACAGCAAAGACGAGGACCAGTCGTCCTTGTCATGGCTACGAGTGGACTCAAACGTCGACTTGGAGCCATCCCAGCCTCGTCTCGCCTTTCGAGATGAAGCTGTCGAGTTCTCTAACGCCTTCTCCAGTTTCTGGATGTGGTCGTGAAGAATATCCAAGTTCTTGTCGTGGTGAGAGGACAGCTGTGAGCGCAGTAGACCGATCACTTTGGCTGGTTCGTCGTCGAAAAACGACGCAGAACTTGCGTCGGAGCTGCTTTCCAAGCGCTTGAGTCTCTCGTTTTCTGCTCGTAGTCGAATGATCTCCTTCTTCTGGTCATCAATTGTCTCCCACGCAAACTGTAGCGATGCCTCATTGTTAGCTGCCGAGTCTGCCTGCTGTTTCTTCTGCGGACTCTCGACACCCGCCACTTCCTCTAAGAAATCCGTCCTTAGCATCAGCTGAAGTTCCTCCAATTGCTGTTCATCGCCTGCGCCGATACAAACTTTACTGCGAACCTGTCAACCCAAGAGGTTAGTCGGAAACAACAACCCAGGCAGGAAAATAAGTATCAACCCACGTACTAGTTCCTCGTCTTTCTGCAGATGCACGTGCAGTTGACGCATGATCTCGACACTTTCCACTTCATCCATCACCATTCTCTCCTTCTCCTTCATCCGCAGCTCCATTAAACTCACGAGAAGTTCCTGTACGATCGCTTCAGCCACCAACAATCGTGGGGATTGGGCGCTCCACTCTTCCTCTTCTCGTCCTCCATAATCTCCCGAAGTCTACCCATACAGAAGTCCAAGAACACCATTAGCCCTCTTCCTGCGTCTCTTTTTCTAATTGCCATCCTACCGATCGTTTGAGTCGTCGCATCCGCTGCTCGCAGACCTGAATGACCACTTCGAACAGGTTGTTGCTGCTTTCAAAGCGTCGTCGACTGCGGCTCTTCCTCCACTCCTTGGACGCTGCTACTCGAGTGCTCATCATCTCCTTGCGTTCAAGAAACTCAGTGATCTGTCTTAATAGACCCAGCAGAATGTCACGACCGCGATCTTCAGGTGACGATGACGAGCTCTTCGAGACTGACAAGGGCGACACATCCTGGTTATCCACGACGCGCGACGAGCGCTCCATCGCTGGTCTACAAGCCGCTTCTTCTTGCCCACTGTCCTTCCCGTTGCTGGTAGTTTCGCGACTGAGCCAGCGAAGAAACCTCCCACGCGTCCGTTGGTGATGTGGTACCACCAATCCATACGTACGAATGGCTCGACAGTTTCGACTTTAGTGTGGATGAAGTAATGTGGATTGGATCTGGTAGACGACGGAGATGTCGAAGGTGCAGAACTCAATCGGCCGCACAGATCCGACGGGCTGTCAGTGGAAAGATGGAAGTCAAGAGTATTGCAGGGCCATATATCAATGCTGCTTGGTATTGCTTGCATTCATCAGGCCCACAGCTCTTTTTTTCCCTTAGGAACGTGGTTGTCAGTTACCACTTGTAGTAGCGGCATCATATGACCTGGCCAGCGTGCGCGGCCCACAGCTATTGATATGTGACGGTGGGGACAACAATATAGAAATTGTATCGCTCGAAGAGCTCGAGCACCGAGTCTTATTAATCAATGAATCCCAAAACTATCCGATCGAAGCACGTTTCCCCAATCCGGTACATGTAGTGATTCTCGAAGCTGCAGTGACCAGTAAAGACTTCACTACGGCAATGTATGTCACGTCTTACTACGAAGTACGTACGTAGTACGTTGTGTCATGTACCTGCAGCTGCAGCCCAGCATAAAATTACCGTGATTTAAGGAATTTGAACGAGAATCAATTCGGAAATGACGGCGGAATTTGCTCTTGTGAAGTTTCTCGCGCTAGAGGAGGGTCTGAAAGCAAACGCAGCACTGCAAGCTGAAATTTTGCAGCTGAGAGAGCTCTCGATGAGGTACCGGTACTATCATTTGAATCAGGTGTTGCGAAATAATCATTGTATTGGAATTTCAATACAATATTAAACAATAAATTATTTATTTTTGAGATGCCAGATATCACTTTCAATAGCTTATTTTCCCATGGTCTTTCCAATTTTGTTTTTCGGTTTTTAAATGGAAGGCTTATTTTAGCTGCAATTATTTATTTTCGCTGTTGATTTCAGAAGCACAGTATCTTATTTCTAAGGGCTGTGATAATATTATTGCAATGATATTATCGGGACATTCAAATTTTGAATGTCCTTATTTCCCTTCTTCACTAAAGAAGTGAAGTACATAGATAAGCACTTCTCTGAAAACTAGCAGCCCCAGATCGATTACCGGTAACACAATAAATCAGCATTTACACAGTAATGCGGTTCACGCGCTCGGTCTTCTTGGCTTCTTCGATGATGCGAATCTGCGGAATCACCTCCTCCGGGTTCACCAGCAGCTTCTCCTCTCCACGGATAGCAGCTGCAATGTTCTTGTAGTACACTTCATACGAGCCGAGTTTGCTAGGAACGACGCGAGTCTCGCCCGTAGCAGCGTCCGTGAACTTGCCGTAGGTGCTTTGAGGCTCCTGGCCCCAGCCTTCATCGTCAGGACGCTTTCCAGCACGCAGGGCGTCCTCCTGTCCGTCCTCGCCGTACTTCACAAATGTTCCCTTGGTGCCCACAACAGTGTACTTAGGGCCTGGGTTCTTGACGAGCATCCCGGCGGTCAGGATCACCTCCCGTTTCGAAAACTTGTTGTATTTGAACTCGAGACGGAAGTAGTCGTCGTTCTCGGCTCCTTCACGCTGGATCTGCACGTCGGACACGACCGAATCGGGCTCACCAAAGAGCTGCAGCGCTTGGTCCGTCACGTGAGCACCCAGATCGTAAAGCACGCCTCCACAGAGACCAGCCTTCTCCTTCCAGTAGCCTTTCATGCTGGGACGGTAGCGGTCGTAGTGGGCCTCGAACTTTTGCACTTCTCCGAGCGTACCGTCCTCGATCAAGCCTCGTAGAGTGAGGAAGTCGCTGTCGAAGCGGCGGTTGTGGAAAATCGAAAAAAGCACGCCGTTAGCCTTGGCGATACCGCACAGGTTATCGGCTTGCTGTGCCGTGACGCACAGCGGCTTGTCCACCACCACGTGGCGCTTGGCTTCCATGGCCTGTTTAGCCTGCTCGAAGTGCACGGTCGTGGGCGTGGAGATCACTACGAGCTGCACGTCCGTGGCCAGTAGCTCCTCCATGGAGCGCACGGTCTTAGGTGCGGGTGACAGCACCTGGCTCTTGCTAGTCGAGCGCTCCAACACGTGTGTGAGCTCGAACTGGCCCGAGCTCATGAGCAGCGGCGCGTGAAACACGCTGGAGCCTGTACCGAAGCCCACGAGACCGACACGGATCTTGGCAGCCATGGATATAATAGTAGTGCTGGGAGTGAGAGTGCTGCTTGGTGTGCAAGAGGCACCAAATTCCAAACTGACTCAAGGTCGCAATTGCAGAGAAATGAACGTCAGGCGATCATGCTGCGATTTGCTTTGAGCCATTCAAAAGGCAAGTTTTACCAATTGCAGCACAAAATTTGTGCTGCAATTTTGCTGGTGAGACTGCGTCAAACAAAATGTTACTTATGAACCCAAGTACTGTTTGCTGGACCAGCATCATTTAATGAGCGACGTGAGTGACGGTCGTCTACCTGTACATGTAGCAGTACAATTACCTGTACATGTATCACGCAATTTTCGACTTCCCTGCAGCTTTCGCTTTTCATCATAAATAAGCGAGCGGCGAGCTAATGCTTACGAACAAGCCACGTTCGCAATCAAGGACGGGTAGTGTACTGCAATCTTTGGTCCTTCAGCTTTGATACCGCTCCTCGACGAATGTAAGCTGGCAAACGAACGGTTCATTCTTATACATCTACCCGAACCATGTCTAGTCCATTTTCTTCGAAATAGCCGTAACGCTGAGCTGACCTGGTCATCGATTGACGAGCCATTCGTTGCATAAATTGATTCAGCTCGATGGAATCGTACGCCTCTTCAACCTGCGGAGTCACCTCTGGCCAAATTGACAGACTACGGATGCCATTCTCCTTCTCGTGCTTGAAGCGCTTCAGCATCCGCGACGCGTACGCCTCCACGTCGACCGGGTACAAGTACACCAACACAAACTCTGCGTAAGGACCAGCAAAAATTCTCTTGATCAGTGCAGCGTCAGCAATCGCTCCTTCGACCACAATTGGGGTATTAGGATATTGTCAAAAGAAGGAATGAACATTCGTCACAAATGCGTCCATGACAGGAGCAGGTAGAGCATTTTTGTAAATCTTGAACGCGGCTGGCTCTTCAAACCCAAATGCATTCCCACTGGGAACTTAGATTAATACATCGATGTGAGCTGAGAAAATTAATAATTCAATTATTTGCAAAACTTCGTAAGTCACGATTGTAGTTCAGAAACATTATCATCTCGAGCCTGGCTGGAGACATTAGCTTCCGTAGATCAGACAACACCAGCTTAGCGAGAGAGAAGAAGCGCTCACACTCGTTAGACGTTGGCGGGATGTACGCGACGTCGACGTAGTGCGCAATTGCGTTTCTTGAACGCCGCTCTCACAATAGAACGCTCTTCGGCGGCTCTTGAAGACGACCGTTCGAGATCAGGCGACCTAAATTCAGCGCAGGCTAATTTTTCCGCGACGTTCAGCGCGTCCCCACGCTGTGACTAGACCTTACTCAAAATTGGGGTTGTTCCCGTTGCTGGCAGCCATAAATTAATAATTAAATTAAAAAATTGGGATTAATTTTTACGCATATTAATTTTTCGGGTTCCCTGATTCCCAGTACTCTTCACCACTTCATCCAGCTCCAGTACTTCATAACCTATTAATCGACTTGACAAGTACGTTTTCCCAGTGCCGCTCTTCGCTGTCAGGAATACATACTTAGGCTTCAGCTCGTTGATGCGCACGATGGCCTCCTCCATCGATGCACCAACAGACTTGTCTTCTCGTTTACCAGCATTCATATTCGTTTATGAAGGTAAAAAAAACTGTACTCACAGCATGTATACAGGCTCTCCAATACCACTAAGTACGATTGTATACATCGCCATGAGTACATTTCATCACTTAGTCTTCCTGCCGCATTGCGTCCTTCGTCTTCACGTTGTTCGGGCTCGGTCCATGACCCGAAAGAAGGGAAAAAAGAGAGGTGCGCTACTCTGAATGAGTCGTCCTCATCCACCGACGTAATTTCCCGCTCAAATTTGTCCATTTGTTGCGTAGACGCCCACGCCGCGACCCAAGACTCACCTGCCACGTATGATGCCGCCACTTTAGCCGAAGCACGCGATCTTCAGGCCCAAGAGCTGGAAGTACTGCAGGCTATATACGACTGTGACTTAGTAGCGCAGAGCTCGACGCCGCTGTACTCGTATATCTTCGCTATCCGGTTGCTGTGTGAGGCAGCTCCAGGCTCCGCCACTACAGCCGAGGTGTTGCTGCACTTCGACTTCACAAGGGCCTACCCGCTCAAACAGCCGCCTAATATAACTGTGGAAGCTAAGCACGGACTGTCGGATACTGAGACGCAGAAATTACAGCGTGGAATGGAGACACTTGCGCTTGAAAAGGTCGGAGATGCCGCGGTTTACGACCTCGTGGTGTTCGCCACAGACTTCATCCAGGACCACCTCAAGGACCAGTCGTCGTTCTTTGATCAAATGATGACGCGTCAACAAGACAAAGAAACTAAGGAGAAGATGGCCGAGGACGCTCTGATACAGCAGCAGGAGGAGCACGCCAGAGCCAAAAGCGAGGAAATTCTGGCTCTGATCGACGCCGAGAGGAAGAAGAGAGAGACCATTAAGAAGACAAGACGGAGGAGGAGACGACACCGATCTAGCATTGATGGAGAGTACGACGGAAGCGACGGAGAGAGTCGAGACGACCTGGAGAGCATGTCGAGTATCTACGAACAGCAAACGGAAGCGAGCTCGAAGAAGGATGACGCCAGTTCGTCAAGTCCATCGGATTCAGACTCGGATACGTCCGATTTGGATGCTGCAGCAGCTGCGGAACGATACCATTCGAGGTATCATGGAGACTTCAAGGAGCTTGGACTGCTGGGACGCGGAGGGGGAGGCGAAGTGGTCAAAGTGTAGAATCGCCTGGATCGACAACTCTATGCTGTCAAAAAAGTAAAATTGGATCCGGATGATAAGACGATGAAGAAGAAGATCTTGCGTGAGGTGAAGACTATCTCGCGAATGCAACACCGACATATCGTTCGGTACTTCCAGGCCTGGATTGAAGGCGAAAGTGGAATGTCCAGTGACGACGAAGAAGAGGACAGTGATTTAAGTGATCAAGAGAGTGAGCTCAGTGACGCGGTGGTAAGCCTGAAAGAAGATTTGTATGGAGAAGCAAGTCTGTCGTCCGATGGATTGGGGCCGATGACCTCTACAGACGAAGATGAAGACGACTGGTTGGGTACGATGGGCAGCAGTACAGGACTGTGGTCGACGTCTCGCCATGACAGTCGCAGTCTCCGCAGTAATAGCCATTCATTCCATTTTTCTTCGCATCATTTAGCGTCCGAGAGCTATCCAGACGATGGATTCGAGTGGGAAACGCTGGAAGAAGCTCCAATGGAAGTAGTTGATGACTCCAGCGAAGATGAAGACGACGGATATCATCAAAAGGTATTACCACACAGAAGCCCCGTGCCCGAGAAGAAGCGGAAGTTTGAAAAGTTGTACATCCAGATGGAATATTGTGAAGGTAATGCTCTCAGAGAGGTGATCGACAAGGGTGCACTGTGGAAAGACCCGGACAAGATCTGGACGATGTTTCGTCAAATTCTGGAGGCGCTCGTGTATATCCATCGGCAGGGCATCATCCACCGCGACATCAAACCGCCCAATGTCTTTCTTGATTCGAAGGGAACAGTCAAGCTAGGAGATTTCGGTCTAGCTGTTCGGCCTCCCAAGGTGTTGGAAGATGACAGCAGCAACGACGACTCCTCGCCACCCGGGGAGACTGCGACTGGCGCTATTTTATCCGAGTCAACTGGTTCTTCAGCTGCTGAGCTGTATGGACGCTTGAAGCTCGAGAACTTGGAGAGTACGCGAGTTGTCGGTCGATCAAGCGTTCAGAATAGCAATCTCATGACGACGATGTCGGCGGATGTGGGTGACGGGAACATTACTGCTGGAGTCGGTACTGCATTCTATCGAGCGCCAGAGCAGGAACGAGAAGGTCAGCGATACAACCAGAAGGCAGACTTGTTCTCTCTTGGAATTTTGTTCTTTGAAATGTGGTCGCCGCCATTTACGACGTTGATGGAGCGTGCACAAGCACTTACCGGTCTGAGAGAAAGACACGAGCTTCCGGAAGCTTTCACGGCCTCGGATGATGTAAAGAAGATTATCCTGTGGCTTTGTGAACGTGATCCATCCAAGAGACCAAATGCAAAGGAGCTGCTGGCAAGCTCCTTGTTGCCTGCCAAGATGGAGGTCGAAGGATCTTATCTTCGTGAGGCTCTAGATACACTCGCGAATCCGCAAGGCAAGTTTTTCGGACAGCTTATTGATGCGCTGGTCTCACAGGAACCTCTCAACCACGTCGACTACACGTACGACCACTTGGAATCGGTCAAAATGCGCAGCTACGAGGCCCAGTTGCGCACCAAAACCTATGTCAGGAATGTGCTACAGGTTCGTTAATGTCGTTCCGCATGGATGCAATGTGGGGTTCAGTCTGACCATAAACTTGTCGTCTCTTGTTACAGAAAGTGTTTGAGCGTCATGGAGCTGTCGAAATGTCGACGCCACTGCTGATGCCTCGACTTTCGGAGCAGACCTTTAACGGCATCACTCTTAACGCTCCACCGAACGCATCCATGATGTTAGATGGAAATGGCGTGTCGGTGTCGCTGCCGTTTGATTTGACTGAGAGACTTGCTCGCTTCGTCGCACGACACAACGTTTTACGGCTGAAATGTTTCCAATTCGACCGAGTCTATCGGAAGAGCGTTGGTGGCGGCCATCCACGAGAGTTTAACGAGTCTGACTTCGACATTATTTGGGATGATGGAGGTTCGTTCCGTTTCTTGGAGCTGGAGGGATTGGAAGTCGTGTCGGGCGTGATCAGAGCGTTGCCCAGTCACCTAGGATCTTATTATCTGCGATTTAATGACGCTCGAGTGACGCGCGGTATTCTCGATCTGTGTCGCGTTCCAAGCAGTGCACGTCGCGAAGTGCTACGTCTGCTGTCAAACGAAGTGTCGTTCTACGTGCACGCTCGTCCTCCATCTACGCAAGCTCCTAGCTTGAAACCGAGTCGATGGAAGTTTGTTGCAAAGCGCTTGAAGCACTACGGCGCGCCACCAAGCGTTATCGAGGCACTGAAACCTTTTTTTCTCCTGCCAGAAGACTGTCTGACGTCGCTGGATATGATCGAGTTGGAAGTGCAGAAACTGTTTGCAAAGAATCGAGCTCTAACAACGCGTGACTCGACCACGGATGGCGATGCTGCAGACCGAAAGCAGATACAAAAGCGAGATGCCCAGCTACGACGTGTTGTGAAGGACGTGATAGAAGGTATCACGTCGTTGCGCTTATTGCTGCAAGGTATGCAGTTCCTCCAGCTGTCTGGTCCAGTTTGTACACGATTAGACTTGGGGCTGAGTCCGCGTCCTGAACGGTATTCGTCAGGCTTCATCTTCCAGGCTATTCTACTTGAAGAGTCCACAAATGGTGGTAATAATGGCGGCAAAATTGCATCGTTATTAGTGGCAGCGACAGATAACCAGATCATCATTGCCGAGGGTGGACGCTACGACGCTCTGGTTTCACGTTTCCAACTGACGACTGCTTACGCAAAATCTTCTGCGGTTGCTGCCATGGGGGTGCGCTTTGCTATTGATAAGATTGTTTCGTTACTGGCAGAGTCCATGGGCTCAACGCTGTTGGAGTTAAAATCACCAGCTTCGGAAGTATTGACGGGTGGCCGCAAGGTCTTGATCTGCTCAGCTGGTAAGGCGTCCGATACGATGCTGTTCCGAATGCAGATTGCCATGCTCTTGTGGGGACAGGGCATTGGCGCAGATTATCTTCACCCAGAGCCGCTGCACTTGGAAGACTTGGAAGACTACTGCGCTCAGCAAAATGTACACTGGATGGTGATTGTCCAGAAGCATATGATTCGAGATAAGCAGCAAGTGAAGATTCGTGCAGTGAAAAGCCATTCTGAAGCTGACGTGGTTACGAATGTGGCGTCGTTACCGGAATGTATCAGTGAATTACTGGAGAACTTTGGCAAGAGTTCACATGGCGATACTGCGAACGGTGGTGGACGTGGAAATAGCCATTTTGGAGACAACATGAGCAGCAATAACAGCGGTGGCGGAGGCAATTCCTCGTCGAATGGAAATACGCTGCAGCCAATCTTCGACGTTCGGGTGGTCGATGCCAAATACCAATCACGAGATAGAAACTACCGCAACTATCAGCTTGATACGCAGAAGGTTCAGCGCCGAGTCTCCAAGTGGATCTCGTCCAGCTTCTCGTCGCGAGGGGAGGAAGCCATGAAGGTTTTGTCGGTTGACTTGCCCTTTGTATTGGTACGCGAGATGTCGTCGGCACTGATGGAAGGAGGACACAGCGGTATCGACACTGTATGTGCTAATAATCCAAGGTATCGGAAGCAGCTCAAGTATACCATGGAAGAGGTGTTATCCC